GGGTGGTAAGATTTAGGGGAGGGCCATGCTTTACCAATTTCAAAAATATAAAAAAAAGTAAGCATTTCCAAGAGAAGAAGAGAAGATCTAGCTAATTATTATTTTAAAGCTTCTTTTTATTATTTATCTGTATTAGATTATATTGATGTGCTTCCATAAACTGATTTTACTGTGTTATGCTCACGGGTAAGTTTGTGCAGTTGAGGCATGAGGGAAGCACTGTGAGTGGGGGAACAAGGTGGGAGGGAGATGCTGTGAGTTGTGGGGCTAGGTTAAAATGCTGTGACAGGATAGCAATGTGGGTGGGAGGAATTCTTCATGATCTAGGGAGCGAAGGAAAACACTGTGAACCATGGGGCAAGTTTGAAGGAAATAGTGCAAGATAGGTAGCAGAGATTCCCTGTGAGCCTGCGAGTGAAGTGTCTGTGGAGCAATGCTGGGATGCTATGTGATACAGTATATTTAGATAGATACTCTGTGGTATACATACATAGATAGATAGATAGATAGATAGATAGATAGATAGATAGATAGATAGATAGATAGATAGATAGATTTTCACATTTCAAATAAAAGCAGACTTGTCCACATTAAGTGTGGTGATGTGCATTTTTCCATATTGGATAAATGCTGGTCACCACTAGGGCACAATGAAAACACTTGTTTTCTATGTGTTCCATTCGCACCTCAACTCTGGTGTGATTGTGTGGTGCAGTGCAGGAAAATACAGCATGTCTGCATTTTTCTGCAACACACTAAATGGCTCCCCATGCCATCAGCTGCATCACGCCTCTCCCTGTCAGAACTCACACTGCACCAGTCTGCATGGTAAAGCACTGCATTTGAACATAGCCTAACTATATTTAAAAAAAATAAAAGTGGTCCCCATACAGTTACACATTAATTTTTATTTTTTATTTTTGAGGGGTTAAATAATAGTAATAAAATGAAAGAAGGTGTATCCGTATAACATTCTAAAACTCCTCCACCCTACATCCAAGCTGGTAGAAACTTCACTCCTAATCTGCATGAAAAACGCAAAATTATTAGACTTAAAGGAAAAGTATAGCCAAAGCTGTTTTGGCTATGCTTCTTTTATGGATCACAGGAGTGCAGTTCTTTCTGCACTCCTGTGACCTGTTTTCATCCAACAGTGGGCTAAAGCCCACTGTCGACTGACTTCACAGAGCTGGACCAGCTGAAAAGATCCTAACCATTTAGTCAAAATCCACCCAGAAGTCTGGACTGGCACCTGGTTCAGCCTCTCAGCTATCCACTGAGAGCCTGAGCCAGTCCCTACTACCCACTCCTCAGTGCAGCGCTTCAATGAGCGCTGGAGGGGCTGAGCAGAAAGACAGAGACTGACACTCCCAGCTGTCTGCTGAGAATGGAGGGGGAGAACTGAGCGATCAGTGGTGTTTGATCGCTCAATTCTCTGTGCAGAGTCGGAATCCAGTGGGACAAATCCAGCATCAGATCAATGCTGCATCTACTTAGGTGAGTATAAGGTTTTTTTTTTTTTTTCTTTACACCCCATACTTCTCTTTTAAAATAATTTTAAAAAGGCAATTGTTTTGTTTACATTCAGCTGATGACTCATTGGTTGTTAAGAATATGGCGGCCACCTGATCCTTAACAATCCGTTAAAATAGAACACTTTTGTTAGCTACCGCATGCCTGAACCACTGCTTAATACTGCATGCATTTAATTATTTATTTCCTTCTGGGAATTGACTTTACCCTTTTGTATGCTGTATTTGCTGAGCATTTTAACAGTATAGTGAATTGACAGTTTCAGGATGGCATGCAATATCTAGGGAAAATGTATTACCTTAAATACCTCATGTGATCTGCTTTTGTAAAAGAGCCCTGACCTTCTTGTGGCAAACTTGCTCATCCTTGTTGGAGCGGAGTCCCCCTTTACACGCTGTTTTTCATGTTCTGTCTGTCTATCTGAGGCATACCTTAAATCACTCCTCACATCCCCCCTGCATTCCTGTGAGGCAAACGTTAGCTTCTGGCAGATGGTGTGGGGGTCAACCAGGTTAAGACATCCTGCGACCAGCAGTCCAGCAATCATATAACGTTGTAAAGTGTACTTCCTCCCCCATCTTAATCAAGATAAGAAAACTGCACATTCCTCATGTGAACTGTATGTTTCATATCATGGGGGATGAGTTGTAGTTAGAGTAGAGTTCCCCAATGACCACTCCCAAAATGTGTAGTCAGAGCCCGCCCTTCACGTGAGAGGGACTTTCAAGAGAGTTAGTCTGTCACTCACACACACAGGGATCTCCCAGCAACATCGTAACAAGGGGAGATCAAAGAACCTTTCTGCTCTGCATCTTGAATTTGCTAAAACCAGGCAAGGCAAGTAACCTACCCTGTAATTTCCTCGCTATTCTATGTTTGCTGTGTCTTTATATACATATATATATTCTTGTGACATCTTTGTAACTATTTATTTTGCATCTGTTTGACCGTTAGAAATAAATCTTTCTTTCTGAAAGTGTTAAACTGTTTCTAAGTGCTTACTTGCAATTCACGAATCCCTGCCTTTGAAGAGATGCTACTGTGGTTATATTTCTGTATAGTAGGTTCGCGGGCCGTGCTATATAGAACAATATTTCAATCATTATAGTGTATATTTGATAACGGGAGTTTCCCAGTCTCCGACAAAAGTGGTGGTGGCAGTAGAGGGTTAGTTGCGTAACTAATCCGACCCAGTAACAAGCGCATTCAGGCTGCAGGCACCGATTGTAGTCCATTAGCTGGGCAATCGCTGTGTAGGGTGCAGCTGGGTGGGGCCTTAATACGCGCGTCACCCCACGGTTTTTGGATCGGCCGGCCCTTTGGTCACGAGTTTGGTGAGAAGGTCTGGGGTCTGATGCCGTGGGCGTGACGTATTACTGTTAGTCGCGGCTGTGCGATTGTCGCCTGTTGGTGGCGGCGGCCGCGGGTCGTGACATATTGTTGGCAGCGTACGTGGGATAGTTGCATTAAGAGCTTCAGTGCAGTGTTAAAAGTTGGCTCTGCACTGAAGGATTGTAACCTCTGTGGAAACAGTCCTTAGAAACAAGTGGTGCATATTTTATTTTATATATATATGTGTGTATAGAGAGACACATAGCAACAGCTATTTTCTTTTCCTACTTTTCTCTTCTATCTTATCTTTGCTTGCAATTATGGCTGGTGAAGCAGATTATGAGAAAATGAGCAAAGGCGATTTGAAAGTTGAATGTGCCTCACGAGGATTGGACGTCGGTCGCAAAACTCGTGAAGATTTGATTAGTGATCTAGTGGAGTATGATATCCGAGCAAATCAGAACTCGGGGGAACTTGAACATGGAGGGGTTCCCGTTACCCACATTGCCAGTGGCTCAGAGACGGCCTCACAGGATGGGCATACAGAGACTGACACTGGAGGATCACCAAAGGTTAACGTCACACCACCGCCTGAGTGCGCTAACACCGTGGTGCCTGGAACCAGCAGAGACTCTTCTCAGATGCAGGAGGCCTTGAAACGCCTCATGGAGACAGATCTGGAGGCATACCTGCGGTTCATGGAACGCCAGGCTGACAGAGAAACTGCAGAAACGCCGAGCTGAGAGAGAGGAACGCCAAGCTCAGAGGGAAGCTGATCGTCGGCATGAGCTGGAGATGGCAAGGCTCCAGCAGCGACCGGGTCAGAACCTCGGGTCCCTAGATCACAGGGACGGCACTCTTTCCGTGGGCGCAGCCAAGTTTCCAGTGATGGAAAAGGACAGTGACATTGACACGTACTTACTGTCCTTTGAAAAAAACGTGCCGTCAGTACCATGTGCCCCAAGCTCAATGGGTTCGGTACCTGACACCAGGGCTACAAGGCAAGGCCCTGGAAGCGTTTGTTGAATTGCCAGAGGGGCAAGATGATGACTATGAACGTTTAAAAAGATGCCATTATCCGGGAGTACCAGATGACCCCGGAAGTGTACCGCAAGCGGTTCAGGTCCCTGCAGAAAGGACCTGGGGACTCTTACACAGATGTGGCAAGTCGCTTACGTACCACATTCCGACAGTGGACTAAGGGACTGAAAGTTGATTCTTATGAATCTTTGGAGGATCTCATGATCAGAGATCAACTCCTGCACATTTGTCCAGCAGACGTCAGACATTTCGTCTTGGAGAGGGAGCCAGCATCTACTACACAGCTGCAGCAGACCTGGCAGATACCTTCGTCCACACGCGAGTGCCTGAACCTCGCAAGGCTCCTCCAAACAGCTGGAAAGGGGGGAAATCGTCCCTAGCAACCTCTCCTACTTTGGTGAGTCAAGCTTACCCTCCGCCCAACCCTGCAGCGCTTGGAGCCAAGCCATTCCTGCCTGACACCCGCAGATGTTTCACCTGTGGGAAAGCCGGACATCTCAGGACGCAGTGTCCTGAGCAGAAGCAGACGACATCACCTGGCCAGCCGGCCAGCAACTCTTCTTCTGTGCTGTTCGTTCGCAGGAAGATGCGGGTAACCCCCGACAACTTGCAGCCTGTTACCATGGGCAACCGGTCTGCAACTGGTTTCTGGGACACCGGGGCAGAAGTCACCTTGATCCGGCCAGAGCTGATTGAGCCACAGAACCTCATCCCAGGAAAGTTCCTGACCCTCACAGGAGTTGGGGGGACCCGTTCACACATACCCTGTGCAAAGGTATTCCTAGATTGGGGTGCGGGGAGGGGGATGAGAGAGGTGGGGGTCTCGGATGAACTGCCCACCCCTGTTTTGTTGGGTGCTGACCTAGGCGCTCTTCTTTCGTATTATGCTCCTGCCGAGAAGACCCGGAAGGGCCCTCTGGAACTCTCTGGACAAGCCAAGGAACTGTGGACAGATATTGGGGTAATGTCTGGGCCACCGGTGGATGGACAGAGGGAGGAGGCTGGGAATGGTGTGGGGCTACAGGAGTCTCCATTAGCTGGAGAACAAGAAGAAATCCCCTGGCCTGGGGAGGTATTGGACTCATGTGTCCCTGATATTATGAACATGACTGTTGAGGATCGTTGTGGTGACACTGAGGGTGATCTTACTAATGTTAGTAACATTGGGAATACAGTCTGGAATGTCAGTAATAATATCAGTAGTATTGATAGGAATGTCATGGATAATATCAGTAGCATTGATGGTAATGTCATTGATAATGTTTGTATTGTTGAAGGCAATGTTGGTAATGCTAACAATGAGATTTGTGAAGAAACAAAGGATGCATTTTCAGTGTTGGGGGCTGAGGTACAATCTCTGGGGGCTGAGCAAGGGGATGACTTGGATAGGCCTGTCCCTTGCCCAGGCTCAGAAGATTGTGCCTTGATAAGTGCCCAGCCATTGGCCTTGCATAGGACTAGGCAGCTGGCTGGGACTTGTAGTTCCACGCCTCCGGCAGCACTGAAAAGCGATTCCCAAAGGAGCTTCAGAGGCCCGCTAACTGTGAGTTGCCCTGCTAAGGAAGGCACACCACAGCTGGCTGGGACTTGTAGTTCCCCACTTCAGGCAGCCATGAAAAGTGAGTCTCAAAGGACCTTCAGAGGTAAGCTGGCTGGGGCTTGCAGTTTCACACTTCAGGCGGCCCTGAAAAGTGAGTCCCAAAGGACCTTCAGAGGTAAGCTGGCGGGTACTTGTAGTTCCACACTTCAGGCAGCCCTGAAAAGTGAGTCTCAAAGGACCTTCAGAGATAAGCTAACCAAGCTTTGTAGTCCCACAGGGAAGACTGCTCTGGAAAGCCATTCAGATGGAAATTTTAGTCCAGGGCTAGGTGTGAGCCCCCCTGCTGGGAAGAGTAAACAAACTAGCAAGGAGGCTAGAATGACTGGCCTAGTCAGTAGGGGCTGGGGGCCTGAAAGCCTGTCAGTTAATCCCACTTGTCAAGGTGTGTTCACAGGCAGACAGACAGAGGTCAGAGGCAGCAGGCCTGGATTACGAGTGGAAGGAAGGTTGATGCTTGGGTTACAGAGAGAGGGCCTCCGGGCCCAGACCCAATCACCCTTCCCTAGCACTTGGGGTCCGAAGCAGCTGCCCAGGCCTCTGATAGATGGTGTCTGGATTCAGAAGGTGCTGGCTGATTGGGCCACAGAGGCAAAGGGAATGGCACAGTCAGGAATCCAGGGATCAGCTAGAGTCTGGGCAGTCCTAGTGGTCACGGTCCTCCAGCAGGATATGATGACCAGGCTTTCTGAGAACCTTGGGAAACTGAACACCAGCCCTGGGTTTGTGGCCTACCCCATGCCCAGGAGCCATGAGGCAATGGAGCATCTGGAAGGTGCCTACTGTTTTGCCATCATGGGCCTGAGCAAGGAGCATGGGCCACCATCTCTAACCCAGCAAGCTCCAGACGAGCCAGCCTTCACTACCCCAGGTGGCTTGCCTGAATCCATGGGAAAGCTAGTTGGGGTTGAGAAGGCACTGACCGCCACTCCCGCGGTCAGGAGTGGCCCGCAATGCGCAGTGGTTCTGGGTGCAGTTGTCCACTATAGGGACCTCGCGGTGCTCGGCCCTGTCTGGGAAGAGCCACTTGGGCCCCTGTCACTAGGCTGGAACAAACCGCCTGTGCCCAGTCCAACAGCCAAGAAGGGTAACTGTCAGAGGGGCATGTCAGTGGTTCAGTTTAGGAACCCATCAGTAAAAAGAGACCCCCAGAGGTCTGGGCATGGGGAGACTGAGGCAGTTGAGGCCTAGTCAGCTCCCCAGGCCAAAAAGCAGGTTACGTCAGTCGCGGGTACAGCTGGCTACGGTAAGACGCCTGGATGCGATGATCATGGCTCAGCTGGACCTGTGACTGACCTGGCAGACAGGAAACTGGAGGAACTGGTGTCCTGGATGCTAGCAGGTAACGAGCATTGTCCATCTTGGATGAAGGTACCTGTGGACACCACTGGGAGGCGAGGCCCAGAATTTGCCTGTCCGGTTCCGGTGCCCACGGGCACTACTACCTTCAGGCCAGATGTAGTCCTAAGCCTGAGGAAGAAGGTAGGAGAGGGAAATCTTCTTCTCTACCTCGACAAGAAGCTACATATTAATATGTTAGCAAAGGACACCCCTGAGCCGAAGTGTTTTGTGAACAGGTGGGCACCCCGGCAGTTGCCACGGGATTCGGATAGCCACAGCCGACTGGTACCCACCCGTGACCACTCACTTGGTCGGCCCAGCAGTGCTGCTGGAGAGAAACGGCTTCCTGTTCAGATGGACTTCGGTTCTCCCGCAGTACAGCGGTACCAGGACATCCCAAGAGGAACCTCTGGACAGAGGTTGGTTGCGTCAGGAGAGAACTTGTAGCTCACTCCTTGGCAACCACTTAAGGGGGAGGTGTGGCAAACTTGCTCATCCTTGTTGGAGCGGAGTCCCCCTTTACACGCTGTTTTTCATGTTCTGTCTGTCTATCTGAGGCATACCTTAAATCACTCCTCACATCCCCCCTGCATTCCTGTAAGGCAAACGTTAGCTTCTGGCAGATGGTGTGGGGGTCAACCAGGTTAAGACATCCTGCGACCAGCAGTCCAGCAGTCATATCAGGTTGTAAAGTGTACTTCCTCCCCCATCTTAATCAAGATAAGAAAACTGCACATTCCTCAGGTGAACTGTATGTTTCATATCATGGGGGATGAGCTGTAGTTAGAGTAGAGTTCCCCAATGACCACTCCCAAAATGTGTAGTCAGAGCCCCCCCTTCACGTGAGAGGGACTTTCAAGAGAGTTAGTCTGTCACTCACACACACAGGGATCTCCCAGCAACATCGTAACAAGGGGAGATCAAAGAACCTTTCTGCTCTCCATCTTGAATTTGCTAAAACCAGGCAAGGCAAGTAACTTACCCTGTAATTTCCTCGCTATTCTATGTTTGCTGTGTTTTTATATACATATATATATATTCTTGTGACATCTTTGTAACTATTTATTTTGCATCTGTTTGACCGTTAGAAATAAATCTTTCTTTCTGAAAGTGTTAAACTGTTTCTAAGCGCTTACTTGCAATTCACGAATCCCTGCCTTTGAAGAGACGCTACTGTGGTTATATTTCTGTATAGTAGGTCCGCGGGCCGTGCTATATAGATCAATATTTCAATCATTATAGTGTATATTTGATAATGGGAGTTTCCCAGTCTCCGACAAAAGTGGTGGTGGCAGTAGAGGGTTAGTTGCGTAACTAATCCGACCCAGTAACAAGCGCATTCAGGCTGCAGGCACCGATTGTAGTCCATTAGCTGGGCAATCGCTGTGTAGGGTGCAGCTGGGTGGGGCCTTGTTACGCGCGTCACCCCACGGTTTTTGGATCGGCCGGCCCTTCAGTCACGAGTTTGGTGAGAAGGTCTGGGGTCTGATGCCGTGGGCGTGACGTATTACTGTTAGTCGCGGCTGTGCGATTGTCGCCTGTTGGTGGCGGCGGCCGCGGGTCGTGACACTTCTTACCAGACTCATGGCCGAAGGACTAGCCAATCTAAAACCGCGATGTCACGTGCGTAACAATACCACACCCAGCTGCACCCTGCACAACGATTTTCCAGCTAATGGACCACCAATCGATGTACCGGCAGCCTGAATGCGATTGTTACTTAGTCAGGTTAATTACGCAATTAACCCTTCACACTGCCACCACCTCCTTTTTCTACAGAGAAAGAAGACGATATCAGCTATAACACTATAATGATTGAGGTAATCGTCTGTATAGCACAGTCACCGCAGACAGGTTATACAGAGGGTTAAACAAACACAGTAGCGCTCTTTTAGATGCAGGAATTCGTAAGTTGCATTACCGAGCTATAGAAACAGTTCAACACTTTCAGAAAGAAAGATTTATTACTAAAAGGTCAACAGGGTGCAATAAAAATATTTTACAGAAAAAAGATGTAACCAATATATATATAAATATACAGAGAACAATAGCACAGCAAAGAGGTAACAGAAAGGAGGTTAAAGGGTTAAAGTACTTGCCAATCAGCCTTGGGTTTTCAGATCAAGTTTTAGAGCGAAAGGGCACGGTCTCCCAAGGTGGTTCTGATGTTAAAAAGGGAGAATTCTTCAACTTCCACTCTTAGGCCTGACAGCCTACTTTGTAGTCCCCCAGCAGGGGGTGTCTCTGAAGCCAATGTCTCGTTTGGGGCGGATTGTCTGGGCGGAGACCTAAACTAGAACCAAAATCTCTCCTAGTTCATATTTTGGCTCATAACTTTTCCTAGGCACAAGCAACATTCCACCCACGGGTAATTTAATATGCAGATGCCTCTGAGGAATGGTTAGATATGAAATACATACCGGAAGGGTTCAAGAGATGTGATTTTCTGCTTTCCTAGGTATTCCAGTCAGGGAGTGTGACCTATCAAACGATTTGTCTTCTCGTGGCCAATCCGAAGATATGCCTGGTTTTTATGTAAGTCTCTCATATTCCAAGATATGAGACATAGGGAAAAAATGGATTTTAAAAGTGTTATCTAGTCTCCTACTCCTCTGGAATGTCTTTGAACTCAGGGGAAGACTTGGTTATCTTTTACAATGTGCCAGATTGCACAGGTTCTTTGGACAGCGAGGCCCCAGCTCCCTTGGGTGTGTTATAGCTTGGAGCTCCCTGATGTGTTCTGGCCTGCCTGTGACACTTCCAACACACACACACCTGACCACGTCACTGTGACTCTCAGAGAGGGAGAGGGGGGGGAGAATGAGGGAAGATATGTTTGTACAAGATGGATGTTGGAGCCAAAATGGTTGTACCGCATCCATCTTTGTGCGCATGATTGCTACAGAGCCCATTACTCCTTATTTACAAAAAAAAAAAAAACAGTCCCGTTTTGAAAATTACTTTCACATTGCTGAAAATACAGATTGTTATTCTTGTGTGAAGAGTCATAAACTGAGCCTATATATTTTTAACAACCACATCTTTCTCTATATACACAGTAATGATAAATAATAACAATGTCAGTTGACCAGATGTAATGAAATTATACAGGGGAAAAGTAAATTTGTTGAACAAGTCAAACCAATAGCAACCGGTACAGCTGTACATGGTAGCCAATCAACTTCTAACTTAAGCTTGTTCAATTAAGCTCTGACAGTAAAACCTGGAAGCTGATTGGATTCTATGCAGCACTGAACCAGATTTAGCATGCTCTAGTTTTAGCAAATCTGAAAGTATTCAAATTTAAAAGGTATGTCACCTTTACCAAACAACTGGCAATGCACTTATGTGGTACCTGTAGATAAAAATAAATGGTGCAGCTTTGACTATAGGTGAAGACCATTTGCGTACCTCCAGAAGCAAGGACAAAAAAAACTCCTACAAAAGTTGTTCCCCCCATCCTACCTCGTTAGGACGTTGTTAAGATGCTCCCACATGTTGATGCTTGCACCCATCATTACAGGGGAGAGCACTCACTCCATTTCAAACCCTGTACATGTTTCTCTGTGTAATGAAACACAGCAGTACTGAGCTCAAAAAACCGCTGTGATATATTGTATTGTATGTACTGCAGAGATGTTTTTTTCTTTTTATTTTGGCCTGACATACCCGCTAAGACATACTGATTATATGCCAGTTATTTGGTATAGACGATCAGAAATAGAAAATAAAATAAATAGAAACTAGAATATAGATCAAGGAATGCACAGTTTGACAATACTTTACAGCCTCAAATTCCTAGATAGCAATTTGTCATGATGCCATATGGCACCATGTCGGCATTTGTTGTGTATGCCTTTAGTCCATAATACACAGAAGCTGCAGCACTTCATGGAAGGTTATTCAGAATCCATAAATTACAGCATTCAAAATCACTGGCAACTGTTACAGACTATACAGTCATTTCTTAGCCCAAGCATGAATATATTATACAGTACTTAGGTCTTGTTCACACAGGTTTCAGCTTGTATAAAATGTGTGTGTGCAGCAAACATTTCCAAAGATTTCAGCAAACTTTATGAAGATTTATTTTAAATTGTAACTGTTGGCTTAAAGTACAACTGAAGGCATTTTACTGTAAGCCGTGTACCGGGGTGGGCTCCCCAGGATACAGTGAAGTCACGAACGAGGAAAGCAACCCCAACACCAGCTTTTGCCACAACAGAATTTCACTTAGATGTGGCAAGTAAACACAACCACAAATGCTGAAAACATACATAAATTTACATACACCCAGCTCAAAGGCTGAGACCCTTGTGCTGCACAGCACGGCGCCTTCTGATGGATGAAGGTAGAAAGTGAAGTAATTTACCTACTGGTGGTCACAACTAAGCTGCCACACCTTACCTGTTATTACCCTAAAAGAGCAGGAATCAGTGTATGGTATGGGCTAGCCTGCGGTGCAGCACAACAGCTTACAATTAGAGATGAGCGAATCGAAGTAGGCGAAGTGGAATTCGTTTCGAATATTGGAAATATTCGAAAAATAGCCTACTTCGGACGCGCGAATCGAAATTTTTCCTAAAATGGCGGCGGACATGTGCGGCGACGGAACGGGGATGTCTGGGAAGGTGCGCAGACAAGGCGCGCTGACCCATAATGCATTCCTTAATGACATGTGATCGCATTAGCCAATCAGCAGCCAGCCAGCCAGCACTGTGTAATGGTCGAGCTATAAAATGGCGGCCATTTTAGAATTCTTCATTTGCCTCCAGTCATTCAAGAGAGGCAGACCGCTCTGTATTAGGGACAGAGTTAGGGCCACAGAAACGTTACTTTGGGACAGAGAAACGTTACTTAGGGACAGAGAGAAACGTTACTTAGGGACAGAGAAACATTACTCAGGGACACAGAATTTAGTGAGGGCCACAGAATCGTTACTTAGGGCCACAGAAACGCTAGTTAGGGCCACAGAATTGTTACTCAGGAACAGACAGAATTGTTACTGAGGGCCACAGAATTGTTACTTAGGGCCACAGAAACGTTACTCAGGGCCACAGAATTGTTACTGAGGGCCACAGAACTGTTACTTAGGGCCACAGAAAAACGTTAGTTAGGGGCCACAGAATTGTTACTCAGGGACAGACACAGAATTGTTACTGAGGGCCACAGAATTGTTACTTAGGGCCACAGAAACGTTACTCAGGGACACAGAATTGTTACTGAGGGCCACAGAACTGTTACTTAGGGCCACAGAAACGTTAGTTAGGGCCACAGAATTGTTACTCAGGGACAGAAAAAGAATTGTTACTGAGGGACACAGAATTGTTACTGAGGGTCACAGAACTGTTACTTAGGGCCACAGAATTGTTGTTACTCAGGGACACAGAATTGTTACTGAGGGCCACAGAACCGTTACTTAGGGCCACAGAATTGTTACTCAGGGACAGACACAGAATTGTTACTGAGGGCCACAGAACCGTTACTGAGGGCCACAGAACCGTTACTTAGGGCCACAGAATTGTTACTCAGGGACAGACACAGAATTGTTACTCAGGGGACACAGAATTGTTACTTAGGGCCACAGAAACGTTACTCAGGGACACAGAATTGTTACTGAGGGCCACAGAACTGTTACTTA